CATATTTTCTGGTAGAGTTTCTGCTCGAGTCCCATTTAGCCGAAAGCCATAAAAAAAAGTGACGCTTGTAGTACTATATTCATCTAGTTCAAAACACTATTGATCGAAATTGGTTATACTACGACCATCTATAAAATCGTATCCGATCCGACTGGAAATTCCATTGTAGAAGATATCTCAGGCCTCAAATTGTTTTTTCGTTTTTGACTTCTCCTTTGCGAGTTGTAGAGTTTTGAAGCTCAAGACCTTTCGTTTTCAGTCAAATATTTTTCATTACTTGACAAGGTATAGTCGCAATTAATTATCGTTTTAATTAAAGATAGATCTATTTATATTTAATCTGCAACTCGGTATATACTACTGCTCTAGCTATTTAAGAATGAACAGTAAATAATAACTTACTTCGATAGATTTATGTGCGCGATGGACTGTTGAGCCAGCTGCTATCATTCCTGTATAAACACTTTTCGCTACTGAAATTAAATCTAAAGAGAAATAGCAAGAAAAATATATATTAAAAAATTGTTAGGATATCTTTTCACTTGAATCACAATAACAAACCTTCAGCTGTAATATCAGCATCGTACGATTGTAAACGTTTTTCCACACAATCTAAAATATCTTCACAATTTTTATATTGAATATTAATATTATCAACCTTGTGCACAAAGTAACTAAAACAAAGAGATTTAGATCAACAAAGATCTTTTTTTAGCAATCTACATACTTATCAATAATTCTGTTTTCAACATCAGCATTTAACGGTAATGATTTTAAATAATTACATATAGTCGCTTGATATAATTCCTAAAATAAAAAAAGAATTTCAATCTTTGTTTCTCTATTACATAAGGTAATCTCATACGTTTTACCTCTTGATAAGATCGATTCAATTGTTCAAAACTGACTTTATCCTTTTCTATATCATCTTGTACATCTGTTATGTATTGTTTAACACGTGTAATTTGTTCAAGAATGGTAGAAAAATGAATAGTTGACATCAATTCTATTTCTGATAAATATTGATCATTTTGAGCTAATATATTACTGAAAAGAAACTAATAATTATTCTTCTGTGGTTGGCATAAAACATAAGAACAAATAACAAGTATTGACATACATAAAATTATCAACCAATTCATTTAGTTGTGGTGGTAATGCTTGATCAAGTGGATCAATGGTCGATTCTTTTAATTTATCAGCTAAAGAAAAAGAAAGCTGAAGGTTATTAGAAAACAAATGTCAAATTTATTCTTACCTAATATGGTTATGTCTTCAGTTGATCTGGTAGTATTTGTCGATGTTACAGATGTTGGGGAAGAAGAGAGTGGAGCAAAATATTCGCCGAGACCGACATTTGGCTGAGAGGACTAAAACAGAAAGAAAGCATTTTTCAGAAATATTCAACAGGACTGCTCAACGTTCATATTGCAATTAAATTTGGAACGAATGTATCTTGATTAGTCAATCATTATAGAAGCGTTTGCATACAAAAACATCGACTATCAATCATAAGGAAGAAGTACATATAGTCAGCAAGTATTTGCAGATATAAGATAAAATACCATCTACTTTATGCACCAATACTAGTCATTCTTTTAGGTGTTAGAACGATTCATATATTTTATAGGCATGCACCGAGACAAGATTCTCGAGCTAAACGATCTCGGTATTTGAGAATTCGCTAAGCGAGAATATCGAAGAAGAGCGTTCTCGAACATAGAGAATATTAAATTGAGAATGATCGATGCTGAACGTTGCTGGAATCATGAATATTCGAAGAATATCAATTTTTTTGGCAACCTGTTAGATGTTTGCTTGCCTAGAATGTGTGTTTATGAAAAGTGTTCCTAAGATTCCCTATGATTTATGTTTGCAGAGAATACGCTGACTTTTCAGAATAGATGGAACAAAGCGCTCTACATCACTTTTGTCGAAGTCAGCAGTCAGTTTGTGCTGGAATTCACGGACAGAAAAGGATTAGTGGGTCTATCTTTGTATTCTATGTCATTGGTTATTCATTAAAGTTGGCATACGTTTCAGTTCATTTATTAAAAAATGTACTTGAAACGATATACATGGAAAACTTTAGTAATACCAAGTATCATAACAATATAACGAAAATAACATCATAATCATACAAACAAAACGAAATCTACTGCCATCAATAAGAACACGTTTCTTTAACAACTATTAAGGATTGAAAGAAACTGTTCTGACTACTATTTTTGGAACATTTCTAAATTATCACAAAGTAATAGTATCTGAAAACTCACTGCTCAACAATAACCAGTATTGACAAGTATCTGGTCACTAGTAATATCGTTACTGCTTAGTGACTTATACCTAACAGTCTGTAAATAGATAGATTTACAAAATAAAAAACTGGTATTATCATTGATCGATAACATCGGACATTAATAACTTCCATCATCAATTTTCTCGATAAAAAGGCCTTGAATGATCGAGATAATTTTTGATCGATATCCTCGATCTTTGAGAATATCGGTTCAATATTTTGGTTTTTGGTTTTTATGGTGCATGCTTAATATTTTAACTGCTATACATTTTGTCGAGAAATGCTAGAATCTGTCTTACCTGTTGTGTCACTGTTACGTTAGGTAAAAATATCGGTGTTGTGCTTGCCAATGGTGTTGTGGAAGCCGCTGTCCTAGTGGATGATGACGCTAAAAATAAGCCAGAGATTGGTAAAATTAGCACACGAGTGCTTGTTAGAGATTACCAAGGTAAAGAATATATTCTGGACTTAAACAAACAATCTATTTATTTGCTAAGGCTAAATATTTTAGTTATAAAATTTATGTTGAATCAAATAAATGTAACATCTTGTTAGAGTTCAAACATATTGTATACGTCGATATTTTCTCAGACAAGTGTTTAAAAGATTTTAAATTACCTGTTAATGGAAGAACGCTCGTTACGGTTTTGAGTGACGATAATACATTTGTTTGCGGTCCAGACGATACTCCCAAGATTGCTGTAGGAACGCTAACACCTAATAAATTTTTCAATGATGATGATGTGCTAATCAAGGAAAATAATGGATCAACAGCAGTTGTTGTTGTTGTTGAGTTTTGAATTTGTGGTAGAAGTGGAGAGACACCAAGCATTGTCTTTGGTTGAAATGGCTGGTGTAATGGTGTAATTATACTAACAGTCGATGCAGATGAAAAATTGCCACCACCTAGACGAAAAATAAATAATCATACAATGCTTGTATACAATACTTTCTATGCTTGTTACATACCTAATATTGAATTAGCGATTGGCTGAGGTTGTAGTGCTGCCATTGACATACCTCCAAATGGAAATCCTGTTGTACTAGTTACAGACGTCGTTATTGAATTTGGATTAAATACAAAACTGGATAAAGTTGTAGCTGCCGTTGTTGTTCTGAGCAAAGATGGTGAAGAGAACTGTCCGTTTCGCGCTAGTGCGGTTGCTGATGGTAACGCACCCCAGTTGAAACTACCTATACCACCAAATACAGCTGTCTGTGCCGGTTGAGATCCGAGTGCAAATGTCGACGTTGCTTGATTTCTCACAGTGGAAAATGGACTAGCGATTGTAGCAGTGGTAACACTGGAAGAACTTGCAGTACCGAATACGAATGTCATGCCACTAAAGGTTATTCTTACTTATCAACGAAGGATGAAGTCTTTTTTTCTTATAATCAGAAAAGAAAAGAAAATTCAAAAAAAAGGTAGAGACTTGATCAAATTTTGTTCAGATGGATGTATTTAAGTGCTAGAAAATTGAAGTTGTATTGAAAAAGCCCTCGCCTCAAAAGATCTATGGAATTATCTATCATCAGTTATTTTCGGCCATATTCTGAAAAATATCGATACGATTACGCGGTGGTTTTAAACTAACATAAATTATCTTTTGTTTGGCAATGATGAGGTAACTCACGACGAAGCTATATATCACCCAGTGTATTGATTTGTCGACACACTGGTCAGGATAAATTGGAGACTGGGTAGAAAAAGTCTCACACATATATGTAAAAATAGGACATGGGAACATTTATAATTTTATTCTTGAATGATGACACCATTCTACAGTTATTTAAGTAGATTACTGATCTCATCAGCACGCTTGTAGGCCATTCAAGATTAGAACATTGTCGCTTATTTTTTTTTGCTTCCTAATATTTATTATTACTGTATTACATAATTTTTGAGTCATCACATTCCTCTTTCTTTTTCTTCTGTATTTGTTGCACAATACACTGCAATCTGTCAAGATTGGAAAAACTCAGACTCATATTTAAATTTAAAAAGAATCTTGCAATATTGTTCGAGTAACTTGAACAAATCGAACTTTCATGAACAAGGTTACTATCATGTTACATGTTAAAATGATATGACTTCGAATTTTTTTCTTTTTGTGAACGCGTTTATAAATGACACGGTAAAACACGTTTCACTAGAGACGGGCCGTAATGAAGTCGAATAGAACGAATACGTTTAATGTGAAGTTTTGAACAATGAGACGTGTGGAAAAATGAGAACCGATTTTTGGCCGTTTTTTCCCGACGTACTTGGCGGGTAGAGGCTTGGGTCTGACATAGGTCTCGGACTATTTTCTGGTTCAGGTTTCAATGCCGAACAAGAATATCATAAGTTCTAACGAGAGTTTGAAAAATCTACTTTCGAAATGAAGGCGAAAACTCGGGTTTCCGGGCACCTTCGAGTTTTCTCGATTTTTCGACCGGAAAATAATTTCCAAAAAATTCAGGGAACACATATTCATGATCCTCAAAATCACCATTAGAAAGAGGAGGGAAAACTACGGTAGATTCTTTTTTCCTCATGGTTAAGTCTTTTCTCCCGTCAGCGACCTTTTTCCAAACAAAAGTTAACCTCTGAACGGTCTCTGAGAAAGCCAAAACCTCAGAAAGCAAAGTCTCCAATTCGACTGAGAAATGTTTTGCAAACAACTCCATCGTATAGGACAAACGTTTACTCACAAATCTATTTAATCTAACAATGAGAATTTCTTCCGCTGTAAAAATGTTAAATAATAGCTCTATCAATAAAACTGTTGAAGCTACAAGTGGACAACGTTTGGAAAAAGTTCTTGCTTGTACTTTGGGAAATCATAAAACACGTACTTTTAAAGCACTTCTCAATGTATCTTTTAATTTTTGAATAGTTTGTGGAGCAAATGATGATGGTTCTAAACTGGTTAATAAACCAGTAACAACAGGTAATACTTTAGAAATTGTTGGTAAAGATGCTAGTGCTAATTGACGTGTAGCTGTTTCAAATGGTTTTAACGTACTCTAAATAGGAGAAAAAACTAGATTCATTTATAAAAGATTTGATGCTGTTGATGGTGCACGCTTAATTATTAGTTTACACAGTATACATTCAGCATTTAATGAACTCGTTTCCGTTTGAAAATATCTCCAAGCTGGACTGCGCTTGACCTTTAGTGGTGTTCTTGATATGACAGACGATGGTGAAGATGATACTGGACTATTTACCGTAGTTACACGATTTTGAATTATATTAAGTGAAGAAGGCGTAGTGGTCGTCATTCAAAATAGAGTTGAGTTTTGATAAAAGTTACTTGTGTTAAAGACAGAATAAAATGAATAATGTATCTTATTTGTTTCGCTGATAAATTTAAATTTAAATCACTTAACTAATTCTATTATATTTTCTTACTCGTCCCTGTCTGAAATTGACGTTATTACGTTTCTTACGTAAGAAGCTTGTTCATTTGTCCTACTCGCGATACTTTCGTCTATACTCACTCATAAATCAGTGATAATATAGTCTGTCTTTTCCGAATAAGACAAACGGAACTAAGTTATACGAATAATCGATACTTCGTAATGAGACATAATAATGAAGTGAAGAGAACGAAAATGAGACAGGTCTTCTTTCTGCCGCTTCTTATAAAGGTAAACACTTGTCCGCCATGGTTATCGAAACTGGCGAGTGTCAAATGGAGCATCATTCATTTTGTAAATCTAGTTTTTTCAATGAAAGGCTATACCTTTAATTCACACATCATTAAAGCGGCCAAGAGACCAGCTTCAAAAGTACGGAGAGGTTTTTATAAAATTACTTTTCCTTGCTGAGAAAAATGGCTTTTACTGAAAGCCAAACAGAAACAGCGAGGTGAAAACCAGGCTGTGTGTAAAAATTTTTAACAGGATTATATTGATTTTCTTCCGTGCTATGATAACCCAAGGTATCTCTTCAAAATGAGAGTCAAGTAAGGCCTTGGTTTTCCGCGGCTCGAGTGTTGTGTCGGATTTCTTGCGAGTCCCAGGACTGGTACTCGGTGACTATTGGTAGCCTTGAAAACGGATGGACTACAGGTAATATATCATGCAGAATCTTGTGGCAATATTTGTTTCTAAAAGAAAGTTCTAAAAGTCTACCGAAAAGCGAGTTTTATGAAAATTTGGGTTTTGAGGCTGTTTTCACCTATTAAAAAATTTACTATTCACTTAATAAACATCAGAACGAGTTCTAGACTTCAGATTAAAGAGTATTTAATCTATTCTATATCCTTTTTATAGGAGATCTTAAAAGTTTACAAAATCCTAAGGTTTTCCAAAAGGGTTTCTGGAAAACCCATTAACGCATATTTGCATTAATATTTACGTTAGCATATTTGCTAACGTCTAATGCTATATTTAACTTATTCTTAACTTGCAAATTAAGAATAAGTTAAATATAGCATTAGAGCGTCTTCTCATTCAGTAGAAATCAAAATCAGATATCGACTTTATTCTTTGGTTATTGGATCAATCAGCTCTTTAGCTTTATTCTTATCTATAGTGCAAGAACTTTTTGTTTTGTTTTGCCTTCAGAAAAGGTGAATACTGAGTGCCATTTTTTCATTTTCGGCTACATTGTAACAGCTGGTCTGCCATTGTAAAAGTACTAGAACAAGTTTTTAATATTAGTATTTGTACTACTCGAAATGCTCTTTCGTGTGGTATGTCAAACGGTGGTGTAAACGCTGTAGAGGCAGAGAAAAACAAGATCAAAGTTGCTTTATTAGAGCGAAGATCGAAACTTGACATTCCTGACACGACATGTAGAATATGACTTTTTAGTGAACAAATATGCGATTCTATATAACATTTCATGCTCTACACGAGACGAGTCTTGAAATTTTTGCGGCTTTTATGTCATGTAATGGTGAGCGGATCAAAATGGAAGTACTCGAAGTAAAAAAGTTTTTGGAAAGTTTTCAAGCGAAAGAAGCAAAAAGAAGCAACAAAAATGTAAAGAGTCGAGGAGAAATCGAACGCACGCCGTAAGAATTTCTTTCTTTTACTCTTATTATCTTTCTACTAACGAGGGAACCTCTCGAGATGATAAAACGCTTTTTGATCGAAATCTGGTGGGTTATAGGTTATCGACCAAACTGATTCCGAATATGATTATGGAAGCTGCCCTTAACCGTACGAACATCCGGTTTTCTGGAAAATCAGTCTTTCCGAAACTCTAAAAAGTAAACAAAACCTTTCTTAATAAGGCATGATTGTAGTCCGCAAATTTCTGATTAAAATGAGATATCTTCCAGCTCTACACGACCTTTCTTTGCAAAGTTATAGAATTTACAACAAAAGCCGTTCATTGCCAGCTCAAAGCTATAATTTAGGGCTTTTGTTGTAAATTCTATAACTTTGCAAAGAAAGATCGTGTAGAGCTGGGAGATATCTCATTTTAATCAGAAATTTGCGATCTACAATCATGCTTCATTAAGAAAGGTTCTGGATATTTTTTAGAGTTTCTGAAAACCTGGTTTTTCAGGAAACCGGATCTTCGTACGGTTAAAGGCAGCTCCCATAATCATATTCGGAATCAGCTTGGTCGATAACCTATAACCCACTAGATTTCGATCAAAAAGCGTTTTATCACCTCGAGAGGTTCCCTCGTAAGCTATAGAGTCTATACTTTTCTATCGTCCTATTTTGCATTATATAGATATAGTTACGAAGATGACGTTCGCAAACTAAAAAAGATGAGAGGCTAGAAAGCTATTGCGATGCCTATGCTAAAATTTATATTATCTTTCAATAAGGTTTTTCTTCGCTTCAGCATATGCGTTTACATTTCTCAAATGCCTAAAAAGGATAGATTTTATCTATATATAAAACTTCTCACAGTTGCTTTTCTGAAGGGACTCAAAATCAACATTTTTTAAGGTTTCAAGATAATCAAAACATGAACCGCTCCTTGAGGAAGACATTATTTCCAAAAATCTAGTTGAAAAATGATTATATACTGTTCAAAAAATTATTATGATTTCTTATGGATATATTATAAGATTTTTATAAATTTCTTACCAGAACCAGTGAATTTCTTAGCACTTTCGCGCAACTTCTTATATAAGAAATTCGTAAGAAACCGATAAGATTCTTATCAGAATTAACAAATTGTTTTCGACTAGAGTAGTACCATTTCTGGTACCAATCTTAGGATCACAATACTATCTTTAGTATTAAGCCCAAGATAGCCAGCGTTGCATATATACTACTATCCATTTCAAAATAGAATGGCCGGTCAGTGTGGACCTTATAGCTCCGGAACGGTGATAGATAGAGAGGTGCGGTTTTCACCATTCGAAAGAGAAATATGGGGCTACGATACCCATGAAACAATAAGTTTA